TTACCTCAAAGAGATGTTAAAGTGGGGTAGGGGACCTTCAGTTCTGTTTGCAATGCTTTATTTCATTTAAAATGAAATGCAGACCTGGCAACGGTGGCTCACAGAGGTTGAGGTGGGCAGATCACTTGAGGCCAGGAGTTTGAGACCAGCCTGGCCAACATAGGGAGACCCCGTCTCTACTAAAAATACAAAAATTAGCCAGGCATGATGGTGAGCGACTATAATACCAGTTACTCGAGAGGCTGCAGCATGAGAATCACTTGAACCCGGGAGGCAGAGGTTGTAAGCAAGCTGAGATTGTACCACCGAACTGCCTAGGTGACAGAATGAGACTGTCTCAAATAAATAAATTAATTTAATTAAATGTACTGCACTCCAGCCTGGGAGACAGAGCGAGACTGTGGAAACAAGGGAAAGAAAGGAAAGAAAGGAAGGGAGGGAGGGAAGGAGGGAAAGACAGGAAGACAGGACAGGATAGGACAGGACAGGACAGGAAAGGAAGAGATCTGAAGCAAACATGTCAATGTTGGCATATGTTAATTCTAGGTGATTTACATACATGACTGTTTATTGTATTGTTCTTTCTGTTCTGTGATATTTATATTCTTTTCATAAAAATCTCTGAATCAGCAACTGAGGGAAAAAAACTAATTCAGGATTATTTCACCTGTCACTTGTATTTATTTTTTATTTTATTTGCACTGCACTCATACACATTAAACATTTTACTTAACAAAGTTCATTGCTTTGGGTACTTAATTTATGTATGAAATTAATGACCTTTTATTCAAAGCACTACTGTTGTTTGTTAGAGGAAGGACTAATATTACAGAAGGTGATGACTCACTGCAGTGGAATTTTACTAAAGGCAAGACAAAGCTTTATATCTTTAGGTGGGGATAAATTACAGCTTCATACAAACACACTTACTAGTAAATCAAAGAGGAAATTAAAGGCAGTAAATCTATGACCCGAATGCAAACTAATGGGATGCTTTTCAGAGATTTTCCAGGAGTACAAGCAAATCCTTTTAGATTTGCAGCAATAAAAAAACGCTACGTGGTGCTTAACAATCGAACACAGTCTTTGCAATTATTCTTCAGGGGAAAACTTTTGCTGCTTACACAGAACAACCTCAGGGGCAAGGAGTAAAGAAAATATCAAAGACAGATCAAGGAAGCTGATAATTACTTTAAAGATTATTGTTTTGCAGATAGAGGCAAAAGCTACCATGGATATCTCACTATTAATTCACTCAAATGAGTAAAAGAAAGAAAACACATCAAGGGTGGCATTTTGCTCCAAATGACTGTGGATTCATATAGTAAGAAAGTACTTGTACCCAGGCCCCAGTGATCTTCCCACCTCAGCCTCCAGAGTAGCTAGGACCACAGGCATGTTTCCACCACATTCAGCTATTTCTTTTTTTCTTTGTAGAGAGAGAGTCTCCCTATGTTGCTTAGGCTAGAAACTCATTTTGAATACCATTCTGATTTCTCACAGAGTAAGTTATATTTTGAAATATCTTACTAATTTAAGATTAAGTATTGTGATCTATTCACATTCTTACCCAGTTTTCTACTGCTTGATTTAAACATTCTTTTCCTAAATGCCTTTCTATTAATTTGCTACATAAGCAGCTCATAAGTTATTTTTTTGTCACTGCTGTTCGACTATTTTAGTCAGATCTTGTCTGGACTCTTCCAAGTCTTATGAAGATAACTAACAGTTGTGTTCTACTTAATATCTATAGTAGAGTCTTCACCAAAGATGATGCTAAGCATCTACAATATTAACTTCCAGCAAAATGGCATCTCTGATTATTTTAGTATTGGGTAACAGTTTGGGAAAATAACCACATTGTACTCTGTAAGGAATCAAAGTCAAAGTGCCAAGTGCTTTAGGCATTTGTCCTTACAAAAAGCACCATGCTATCCCCTCCCTAGAGCGAGCCCAGGCTAGAAAGAGTTTACTGTGATACGAAAATATCACAAAGGGTCCAGTGTGACCCATAACATTTCTAGTGCAGATCAAAACTAAGTTATATAGTTTTTCTTTTGGGAAGGCAGCAAGGCAGATGAGAAAAAAAGTGAGCTAGAGAGTAAAAATGATCTGGATTTAACTTCTGAGTTCTGCCTAACTTTGGGCAAATTATTTAACCTTTGAAAATATCAGAATTCTCACTGGGTACATGTAAACATGTATGTGAAAATAACATACATAGTGTACCCTAGCAGACATCTAGTCAATATTAATTTCCTTCTGTTAGATTATCAGGTTATAATGGAATCTTTTAACACTATCTTTAAAATACTCAAAAAGACGCCGGGCACAGTGGCTCATGCCTGTAATCCCAGTGCTTTGGGAGGCTGAAGCGGGTGGATCACTAGAGGTCAGGAGTACAAGACCAGCCTGGCCAACATAGCAAAACCCTGTCTCTACTAAAAATGCAAAAATGAGCCACGTGTGGTGGCATGTGCTCACAATACCAGCATTCTGGGAGGCTGAAGGAGGGCATATAATTTGAGGCCAAGAGTTCGAGACTAGCCTGGCCAACATGGTAAAACCCCGTCTCTAGTAAAAATACAAAAGAATAGCTGGGCATAGTGGTATGTGCCTGTAATCCCAGCTACTCAGGAGGCTGAGGCAGGAGAAATGCCTGAACCCAGGAGGTGGAGGTTGCAGTGAGCCAAGATTGTGCCACTGCACTCCAGCCTGGGCAACAGAGTGAGACTATCTCAAAAACAAAAACAAAAACAAAACAAAACACCTCAAAAAGAGCAATGGCTATCACTGTGTCTCAGTTCACCTTTAACCATTTCTGGTTTTTTTTTTTTTTTTCCATTCTTATGTATACACCCAATTCATTTCTATATCTATCATGCCTGGTATCTCCTTACTTTGGGGCCCCCTGAATTATATAATCATAGAGTTTATGGACATCCAAAATATTATTCAGGCTTCTAAGAAGAGCCCTTTCTAAATAATCTGAAAACTATGACTTACTTTATTTCTAAGAACCTCTCAAGGAGACTGACTGTCTCTCTATCTTCTTTCTTTCTATCTATCTATCTATCTATCTATCTATCTATCTATCTATCTATCTACCTACCTACCTACCTACCTACCTACCTACGTACCTACGTACCTATTTTGAGGCAGGGTCTTGCTATGGTGCCCATTCTGGTCTCAAACTCCTGGGCTCAAGCAATCACACTGCCTCAACCTCCTGAGTAGCTGTGATTATAGATGCACACCATCATGCAGGGATAAAAGAGACATTTAATCAGCACTGGTAACTCATTATGAGGCAGGAGAACAGGGTCTGGAGGCAGGGAACCTAAGGCCGATTCATGCTGACTTTCTAGAACTAAATCAAAAGGAAAACCCCGCCTTTCCATGCCCAAGTAGCAAAAGGACCAGTGGCTACTCCCTTTGTACTCTCCCCCCACCCTTTTTCTGCATGGCAGACTAAAAATTGAAAGTACCGGGCGTGGTGGCTCACGGCTGTAATCCCAGCACTTTGGGGGGCCGAGGCAGGTGGATCACGAGGTCAGGAGATCGAGACCATCCTGTGAATGGTGAAACCCTGTCTCTACTAAAAATACAAAATAACAGCCGGGCGTGGTGGCAGGCGCCTGTAGTCCCAGCTACTCAGGAGGCTGAGGCGGGAGAATGGCGTAAACCCTGGAGGCGGAGCTTGCAGTGAGCCGAGATAGCGCCACTGCACTCCAGCCTGGGCAACAGAGCGAGACGCCGTCTCAAAAAAAAAAAAAAAAAATTGAAAGTACCTCTGATCGTTCCCCTCCCACAACCAATCAGGATGGTCGGGGGCCAAATCTTCACTTGCACAAGAGTATAACTTTGTAACTTCACTTCAGTCTCTGATTGGTTGTATGTTTATGTAGGGTGTAGCTTTGCTTCTGCCTCTGACTGGTATCCTCCCACAACCAAACAGATTGATCGTGGGCCATTACTTCATTTACACAGAGTGTACACCAAGTAACCAATAGAAAACCTCTAGAGGGTACTTAAACCTCAGAAAAATCTGTAATGGGCTCTTGAGCTGCTTGCTCGGGCCTGCTCCCACCCTGTGGATTGTACCTTCATTTTGAATAAATCCCTGCTTTTGTTGCTTCATTCTTTCCTTGGTTTGTACGTTTTGTCCAATTTTCTGTTCAAGACGCCAAGAAGCTGGATGCCATTCACCGATAACAATTATACAAATTCAGATTTCTACTATATCTAAATAATACAATTAAGTTGCTTTTCATCTTTACATTGTCTACAAAAATGACAAATTACAGGACTACCATACAACATTCCTTGAAATATGAAAACTGTAATCAGGCTCTTACCATCAGGCTCCTCTTAGGCCAATAAAGTAGTATCACTGTTTATCAAAACTTCTATGTATTAATACAAATGTACAACACAGTTTAATAGTAGGAAACTAAAATGGGCTTTTAGGATCTACTGTATAAACTTATTAGCTATGGAAACTCTGGGCAAGTAACTTGCTTCTCTGAGCTTCTGCTTCCAGATCTTTAAACTGAGGACAACATCACATTTCTTTCTTTTCTTTTTTTTTTTTTTTTTGAGACAGAGTCTCACTCTGTCACCCAGGCTGGAGTGTAGTGGTGTGATCACACAACCTCCACCTCCTGGATTCAAGCAATTCTCCTGCCTCAGCCTCCCGAGTAGCTGGGATTACAGGCATGCGCCACCACACCCGGCTAATTTTGTATTTTCAGTAGAGACGGGGTTTCACTATGTTTGTCAGGCTGGTCTTGAACTCCTGACCTCAGGTGATCCACCCGCCTCAGCCTCCCAAAGTGCTGGGATTACAGGTGTGAGCCACTGCACCCGGCCTCACATTTCTTATAAAATCACTTAAAGAATAAATGAAATAAAGAATAAATTCAAAATACAGTCACTACCTTCATCTTAATAAAGTAAAAACAAGGCTAAAGAGAAAATGAGGGGGAAAAAACACATACCATGTTAACCGCATCTTGATCAAAAGGATTCCATTCTATATTCTGAGGATAATGGGCGAGAACTTTGGATTTGAATGTTCTTCTCAAAGGACTCTGGTCAAAATTTTCACCTACAACAAATAATTAATACATAGTTAATATCTAGAACTTTTCCAAAAGCATGTCATAGTTTTATATTTATTTTATAGACCTACTACTGACTGATAATGTTGAGATCTGATTCAATTTCTGCCTCTAACCATCTGACTTGTAAAATCCCAGTGGACAACTGAAAAACTTAACAACAGAGCAGCATTTAAAACTTCAGAATCTGAATTTTAAAATCCTGGTCACTCAACTGATATTAAAAATCAAAATATAGTAATATAATCATTGCTGTAACCTAATTATGGTCCACATTTCAGTGTGTGGTAATAAAAAAACTATATGAAAACATTTACTTCAGAAAATAAATGTCTTGTATTAAACGAATCATATGTCTTATGATCCTAAAATTTTATACACACTTAGACCCCCATGCTATAGTGCTCAAAGGAGGCAATTTGGCTTGAGTTTCCACAAAAATCTCTGAGAAATGTGACTGCATATCCAGGATGCTAAGTAACAAAACTAACAGAATTACAAACATCATTGCTGAGTCATCCTGTTTAGTAGACAGAACACATTAAACATACTAACCTTTTAAAATAAATGAGCTATCCTAAGTTAAATTCATTATCTGGCAAAATTCTGGAAAGATAAAAGTAGGCTACATTTTAATTACATATAAGAAAATTCAGGCCAGGCACAGTAGCTCACGTCTGTAATCCCAGAACTTTGGGAGGCTGAGGTAGGAGGACTGCTTGAGCCCAGGAATTTGAAACCAGCCTGGGCAACATGGTGAGACACTGTTTCTTTTATTTTTTTTTTAAAAAAATAAATTTTTGAAAAGTAAAAAATTGAAAATTCAATAATAGCTATCAGATTAGTTTTTTTAACCTCCTCAACCAGAGTAATTCCCTTAAGACCTATTATCCCTAAATGTTTCATGAAATATTTTAAGATAGATGGATCTGAAATTCTCGATGTCAAAAATCTGGGATCAAGGAACTAGAAGACCTTGCAGCAATTTTATTGTGTTCTGTGTTTTCCTACTTTTAGAGTTCTAATTAAGTACAAAATACTAGCTGTTACAGCAAAAGATAAATGTCACTTAACAGTATTTATACTATTAAAAATATCACAAAGCAATTTGATTGATGAGTTGTATTTGACTTCCAGTTAGACTCAGTTTCTATTTTGGGTAAAAATATGAAAAAAAAGAAAGAAAGAAAGAAAAAACACCCTGGAATGCAAAACAGATCATAGAAGGAAGAAAAAGTCGCACTCAAAAATCTTGCTGGAGACTACAATATAAAATACATAGGAACTTTTTTGAACGAGGACACATAATTTAAGTATTTGCTGAGGCAACTAAACTACTATTTCTAATTGAAGTCCTTGGCTAATGATTATTTTATTTAGATTCCTCTGACTTATTTAGGCAAACATTTCATCTCTGTATTTTTCTACTCTATACTTCCATCTTCTAAGAGTTGAGAGCACTCATTTCTAGAAGAGAAATTGTCAAAGATATCCCTAAGTAGAGTTTATCAATTTTTGCACCATGCTTCTAGAGTATGTAAGCATCAAAAAGTCAGCAGAGGAATGTGAAACTGTCCATGAGAGTCAATGTGGCCAAAGAACAGATTCAGGGCTCAGAACTGATTTTAGGAAGAGTCCATGATGTTTTTAAGCTGATGCTACATTTTCCTGTGAACACTAAGAAATTTTAAATTACTCACTTCTTCAGTAAAAAAGTTACTTGGCCAGAATATGGTGGCTCATGCCTGTAATCCCAGCACTTTGGGAGGCTGAGGTGGGCAGATCACTTGAGCCCAGGAATTTGAGACCAGCCTGGGCAACACAGTGAAACCTCATCTCAAAAGAAAGGAAAGTAAGGGGGAGGGTGGAGGCTGGAGGGTGAGAAGGAAGGAAGGAAGGAAGGAAGGGAGGGAGGGAGGGAGGGAGGGAGGGAGCGAGGGAGGATGGACGGAGGGAGCGAGGGAGGACGGACAGAGGGAGGGAGGACAGAGGGAGGGAGGGAGGGGAAGGGAAGGGAAAAGGGAGAAAGAGAAAGAGAGAGTAAAGAAAGGAAAAGAAAAGAAAGATTTTTAAAAGTTACTTTTCATTTACTTTAGAGAAAAAAACAAACAAAATTCTTCCTAGTTATAAAGTCTATGCTGCTGATTGTGCACTGACAAAGCAACAGCGTATCTTCATGGTATACAGCCATCGAGAAACCCTCTCCTTCACCTACCCTCTAACACCAGAAATACTTGCTTTTATTATCCATAAATGTAAATAAAATATGAAATACTGCAGAAGCAGAAGAAACATGACATAACCTATCATATAACTCCTTGTAACACTTACCTTTTAATTCAGTTCTGCCTATGTATAGTTAAAATAACATTATCTTCATTCATGTATCAAGTTAGTAATGGAACAGGAGATATATCAGAAAGATCATGAAAGTGCCATTCTCAATATAATTGTTCTATTAACTAAGGAACATTGCACCTTCTTGAGGCACAAATAATCCACTAGAAGGAAACCACTTCCAGAAAGAAATAATGTTACAAAAACAAAAAAAGCCACAAAACAGTAACAAATGTAACAAAAGAAAAGCAAAACCACCACCACTCCACTTATTAGATTGCTTAAAAAAGGGATAACAGGAAAGATCATTGCTATATATACACAGCTGTCTTGGCAAATATGATTTGGAAGGATATTAGAGGAAGAACCAATTATTTTGAAATTCTGGTATCACCGTTAAGAATTTAGAAATGGTCCGGCCACAGGGGCTCATGCCTGTAATCCTAGCACTTTGGGAGGCTGAGGCGGGTGAATCACTTGAGGTCAGGAGTTCGAAACCAGCCTGGCCAATGTGCCAAAATCCTGTCTCTACTAAAAATACAAAAATTAGCCAAGCATAGTGGCATGGAACTGTAATCCCAGCTACTCAGGAGGCTGAGGCAGGAGAATCAGTTGAATCCGGGAGGTGGGGGTTGCAGTGAGCCAAGATCACACCACTGCACTCCAGCCTGGGTGACACAGTGAGACTCCATCCCCCCCAAAAAAAGAATTTAGAAATGACTGGATGCAGCTATTCCTACCAGCACCAGCCAAAATAAGAGAATCTTGGTAATGACTGTTGGGGATGAGAGATGGGGGAACAACCTATACTTCTCATTTTAAACACATGTTTCATAAAGCTCTAACTTAGAATTTACTGCTGGGATGGGGGGAACACACACACAGGAGAATAACTAAGTCTAAGAATTTGGATTCCCAGGAAATGAAAATTACATATGCATCCTGTACTTAAAATTTACCTTTTAAATATTATCTTAAAACAAACAAGGACTATAAATTTGTACAACTACCACAGCTACATATCAGCTTAACTCCAAGTAATACTGCCAAATAACCTCCTACTAAATTGAAGCTTTTCCTCCTAAGAAAGTAGGAAATATCTGCCAAGAGAGCTTAAAGGCTACTGAATACATGTTTTCAAGGCTTGAAGCAAATGAGGTCTTTATGAAAATTAAGATGCAGATGAGAGAAGAGAAACATAAAATAACATCTGTAAGTCTGACCAAGCAAAACTGAATAAAGAAACATTTACAATGGGCTTGGGGTCACTTAAAACAATGATTTATAACAGCCCATCCTTGTTTTTAATTTTATTTTTACCTGAAGTCGTATTTGCAGCATCTTGGCTCTTGCCATGACGATCTGCTTCTAGCCATTGGTACAAAACTACATAATGTAACAGAAACAAAAAAGCTTTATGAACAAATAAAAACAAACAAACAAAAAGCAAAAATGACTTTGAAGAATGGAAAATGAGAATAAATAATTAACCAAAAGCAGTTAAACAGGAGACATTAACATCAGAGTGTAGCTTAACACCAATGGAATGTAGCTGATAAGGGGTTAGTAATGAAAGCAAAGAGAACAGGTAATTTTAACAAAATAAGTGAAATGCTATTAAATATCTGTTAACACATTCTCTTCTTAATGCTTATTTAAAGAGGAATATTAGGAGAAAGCTAATGCTTCTATCGTCAGTTATTACACAAGTTGAATATCCCTTACCCAAAATGCTTAGGACCAAGAAGGGTTTTGGATTTCTGATTGTATCAGATTTTGAAACATTTGCATTATATTTACAGGTTGAGCATCCTTGATTCGAAAATCGGAATACTGGCACTCAAAAAGATCAAATTTTTGAGCATTTTAGATCTCAGATTTTTGGATTAGGAATGTTCAACATAAAAAGTATGACAGTAAGACTAAATGACCAACTTTAAAAATTACATCCTGGTTGGGCATGTTGGCTCACAACTGTAATCTCAGTACTTTGGGAAGCTGAGGCAGGTGGATTGCTTGAGGTCAGGAGTTCGAGACCAGCCTGATCAACATGGTGAAACCTCATCTCTACTAAAAATACAAAAATTAGCTGGGCATGGTGGTGGGTGCCCATAATCCCAGCTACTCAGGAAGGCCAGGCAGGAGGATTACTTGAACCCAAGAGGCGGAGGTTGTAGTGAGCTGAGATCATGCCACTCGCACTCCAGCCTGGGTGACAGTGAGACTGTCTCAAAAAAAAAAAAAAAAAAAATTACATCCCAACCACTGCATATTGACTAAAATGGCTTAAGTCCCAAAAGCTGACTCTACCAAATATTGACAAGGATATGAAGTGTCAGTAATTCTCATTCACTGCTGATGAGAATGTAAAATTGTACGGCCACTTTGGAAGAGAGTTTGACAATTCCTTACAAAGTTAAACAGTCTTATCACATAATCCCACAACTCCAGTCTAATCATGAGAAAAACAACAAATTCCAAGAGGAGTAACCTATAGTATATCTGTTAAGTACTCATCAAAACTATCAAGGACAACAAAAGCAATGAAAGTCTGAGATTCTGTCATAGCCAAAAGGAGCCTAAGTAGACATGACAATTTATGTGGATCGGATACTTCAACAGAAAAAAGACTGATATGATTTGGCTGTGTCCTCATCCAAATCTCATCTTGAATTGTAGTTCCCATAATCCCCACACATTGTGGGAGGGACCCAGTGAGAAGTAATTGCATCACGGGGGTGGCTGTTCTTGGGACAGTGAGTTCTCAAAAAATCTGATGGTTTTATAAGGGGCTTTCCCCCACTTCACTCTGCACTTCTCCTTGCTGCTGCCATATGAAGGAGGATGTGTTTCCTTCCCCTTCCACCACAATTGTAAGTTTCCTGAGGTCTCCCCAGCCCTATGGAACTGTGAGTCAATTCAACCTCTTTCTTTTATAAATTGCCCAGTCTCAAGTAAGTATATCTTTATCAGCAGCATGAGAACAGACTAATACAAGAACATTAAGTAAAAACTAAAGAAATCTAAACAGAGGCCAGATGCAATGGCTCACGCCTGTAATTCCAACACTTTGGGAGGCCGAGGCGGATGGATCACCTGAGCTCAGGAGTTCAAGACCAGCCTGGCCAACATGGCAAAACCCCATCTCCACTAAAAATACAAAATTAGTCAGGCATAGTGGTGCATGCCTGTAGTCCCAGCTACTTGGGAGGCTGAGGCAGGAGAATCGCCTGAACCCAGGAGGCGGAGGTTGCAGTGAGCCGAGATCGCGCCATTGCACTCCAGCTTGGGCGACAAGAGCAAAACTCCATCTCAAAAAAAAAAAAAAGAAAAAAAGAAATCTAAATAGAGTGTAGACTTTAGTCAGCAATAATGTATCAATATTTATTCACTAATTATAACTAATGTACCATACTACTACAAGAGGTTAATGATAGGTGAAATTGTGTGTGTGGAGTGAGGCAAGTATATGGGAACTCTATTCTTAATTTTTCTGTAAATATAAAAACAACTTTATTTTAGAAATTACATTCCAATATTTAAAGTAAAAACACCAGCAACATTATATCCAATCTTATAAGTAATCTACCTTTTATAAATCATGTTTATCAATGCAAACATAAGCTGAAATTTGCTTTATACTGATATCCCATTTAATCAATAATATTCCTAAGCATAATTATGAAATGTCAACTCTTGGAGGAAAGTTTATTACTGTAATGACACAGGCTGTAACTTAGCAGCTTTGAAGGGTGTTAAAACTTCTGAATGTCTTTTATTGTACTCAGATGTCTACAACTTTCAGACATCTTTAAAGAGATGTCAGAGTCTTTCTTTTAAATAGTCAATAATGGTAATGTAGGGTACCAATGGCCAAGAGAGCTTGCTATCCACACCCCAACGTTTGATGATCCAAGGACAGCAACAAATACTAAGCTTCTATGCTGGGGGGCTACTTACCCACAGATACTGTGAGAATTGAATATCCCAAACAAGGTTTACAGAAACTTTCCATGCTCTCCCCTCAACAAAAACAACAACAAAGGGCTGAGAAAGCTGCCTACAGAACTCCTGAACTGGAATAAAAAAGGAACCGATTTATTACAAATATCCAAGAGAATCCTGAAATCATCAAAGTGGTTACTTAGATCTCTAAGGAACAACCAGGGCTGTGAACTGACGTCCATGGTCATGGATAGATAGCTGAAAGACCTCTGAGCAGACAAACATCCAAGTCCTTGGTTAAGGGTGCCCCAGAGGGCACAGAAGTCAGCACTCTCCTCCAGAGACACACTTCTGGGAGGCAAACAATTGTTACAAATGGGACTAGCATGAAAGAATTCAAGAAGTAGACCTCAATAATTAAATATATACTATAGGTATTTCTCTTCTCTTTAGTTCACAGGGATAACAGCTACTCATTAGAGGAGGAGAGAGGGGAATTATATCATGACACAAAAATCTTCCCATTAGGAAAAGCAAGCATGAGCTTTACAACTGACAGTGAAGGCTGGGTGCAGTGGCTCACGCCTGTAATCCTAGCACTTTGGGAGGTGGAGGTGGGCAGATCGCTTGAGTTCAGGAGTTTGAGAACAGCCTAGGCAACATGGTAAAACCCTGTCTCTACAAAAACCATAAAAATTAGCTGGGCATGGTGGCAAGCACCTGTAGTCCCAGCTACTCAGAAGGCTGAGGTAGCAGGCTGGCTTGAACCCGGGAAGTGGAGGCTGCAGTGAGCTGTGATCCACTCCAGCCTGCGCAACAGGGCCAAACTCTGTGTCAAAACAAACAATTGACACTGAAAATCACTTCCACAAAATGAGATGCAAAGTAGGGAAACAAATCCATTAACTGTTCTAACAATTTTGCCCAGCTCCTATCTTAAGCCTAGATTTTCCCCTGATTAAGGTAGAAACTCTTGGCTATGTTCAGGTTATCACTAGGAATATTTACCAATAGTTCCAATTACTTCATATAGCCCTCGTTTCTAGTTTTACCAGAGAAGTTTATCATGTTTGCTTTCATGTTTCATTGATAAAATCATAGTCTGTTTCTAACCAGAGACTCTCCACAAAACAAAGCTAAGTCTCACACTATTTCCCTCTCTTCCTGTCCTGACAGGTAACCCCAGAAGCCTAGTTTTAAAGAAAATCATTAATCAAATGAGACATGAAAGCTATTCCAGGTCACTTTAACCAGTTATATAAAGAACGACACATAAGCAAAAATCATTTTAATAGATTTACATATTCAAATATTTCATCCTTGCCTCTAGATTACCAAAGTCCAATTAACTTCAGTTTAAATAATTCAGAGAATTTCCGGTGAAATAAGTGCATTTGATTCAAGAACACTATAATGTAAATCACCATTTATATAAAGTTTGGACTTTAAAGTCTACTTTATAGGACATATATTTTAAAAGATAATGTATAATTAAAAAAGAAGTGTGACTAATTTTTTAACTTAACATACTAGAATGTACATGGGCAGCTGTGGAAATACTGAACTCCCAAAATTTCTCACTCTCCATAAAATACGTGAAATATATCATAGCACAAAAGGTCTGCTACTATGAATGTAGATGATGTTAGAATGCCAAGAACACATCTCTCTTCACTACAGAAACATGAGATCTGGCCTTCCGGTTGCTTCATGCTTCCTCTCAGTTGGCAGTGGAAATAGGGACCCCATCCCCAGCTCAAAGCTACTGGCAGAGAGTTCTGTAGCATGTTTGTGGGGTTGTAAGTGAAGAGGAAATTTTGAGATTTATGAACCTTGGGGGCTATTTTTCAGCCTGATCATCACGGTTAAATATTTCTTCACTCACTTTCCTCCCTAAACCTTCCCACTAGGAGGGCCCCAGTTCCCTCCTGCACTATCCACTTCCATCATAGCCTGTTTGTAACCAGAGACTTTCTCCAAAAACAAAGCTAAGCCTCACACTATTTCCCTCTCTTCCTGCCCTGACAGGTAACCCCAGGAGCCTAGAAGTCTTAAAGAAAATCTGCTTCTGGGTGGGGGTCAGATGACTAGTTCTTGCCAGTGAAATGTGGGCAGCAATGACATCATTTCCAGGTCAGGGCACACAATCTGTATTTCCCCAGCCATCTATCAGTTAAACGCAAAGGAGGCCTTAAAAGATGGAAAGTTCCCGAAGTGGAAGAAAGTTGAGCCACTAAATGTCTCTGTGAAGTAGAGGGCCTCCCACCTTGGCCTACATTACACTAAACGTGAATGAGAAAAACTTGTATTGCCTCATGCCACTGAAGCATTATGGGGTTGTTATTACAGCAGTTAGCTATTTATGTGTTTATTAGCCTGAGTTTTTATTCGTGTTAGTTTTGACCTTCTGTCTATAATACTAACCCCTGACTATACCATACCTTCTATTGGTAACTTCTCTACATTGCTTGTTACATGTTTAAATACATGAGTACAGTTCTCCAAGTATAAGGACAGAATTTGCCTTTTTTTTTTTTTTTTTAAGACAGAGTCTTACTCTGTCACCCAGGCTTGAGTGTAAGGTTGAGATCTTGGCTCATTGCAACCTCTGCCTCCTGGGTTCAAGCGATTCTCCTGCCTCAGTCTCCCAAGCAGTTGGGACTACAGGCACGCTACCATGCCCAGCTAATTTTTGAGACCAGGCTGGTCTCAAACTCCTGACCTCAGGTGATCTGCCCACCTCAGCCCCCCAAAGTGCTGGGATTACAGGCATGAGCCACCATGCCCAGCCCAGAATTTGCCCATTTTTAATGCATGTTCTCTACTTTTCATAGAAAAAGCCATATATCCTACTAAGCTACTTATGAAGACCACAGGTTCTAGCCCATGACAAGCTTGTTATCCTTTCTAAACACACAACCCCCAAATCTAGTCAGCAAACTTGAAGGTCTAGGGTGATAGTCACGTAAGGAATCAAACAAAAGAATCTTGGAGGGGTCTCTGCAAATTCATTGACCCGACTGAGGAATTCAACAATACAGAAACTTAAATCCTGGTAATATTAAAGTTTATTTTAATTAATTAATTTTTTTTTTTTTTTGAGACACGGTCTCACTCTGTTGTTGTCCAGGCTGGAGTTCAGTGGCATGATCATGGCTTACTGTGGCTTGGACCTCCCAGGCTCAAGTGATTCTCCCACCTCAGCCTCCCACATGGCTGAGACTACAGGCATATACTCTCATGCCTGATTAATTTTTAAAACA